TTATATTATTGTGTACGCATGGATATTATTTTATTTTTACGAGTATTGCTTTTTTATTGCCTATTGCCCATAACTATACCTACAATAATATACAACCTGCACTGTACCTAAACGTCAATGTTCGGACGCCGTTCCACCTGCAGTATACCTATATAGTATGTTTTTTTTTTAAGGTTTTGCGCACGACTTGGAACTATAAATTGCTATTTTCCGTGCCAATAGATGTATGTAAATGTTTACTCTGGAATATGTATACCGTGTATAGGTAATTGGCCACGGAGGTCTTGACAAACATAAGCGGCTAGATGAAAAACACGGCTAGATGGTTTCCTACATAACACTAATAATAATAATAATAATAACAATATATTGTACAAATGCCATACTATACGAGTATATATTTATAAAAGCGCACGCTCACGCCTTTGTCCATCTCGGTCGTATAAGTGCAGTTATGGTGTACACTCAGTAACCGCACACACTATATATATATATATACACATGTGTATAAACACTGTACACTATTCATCAGATCTGCACACAGCAAAAGCGTTACCACACGGCCGTAGGGCTATTCTAACGCACTTCTTTTATACAACCAAAGTAATTTAGCGTTTTCTCCACCTGCATCCACATCTCAACTGGTGTGATATTATGCTTTTATAGCTTTTTTTGTCGTTACAATTTTTTTCTTTTTACTATCAACTACGAGACTAAAACGGTATTTCTAACCGGCCGGCGAATTCACGATTCCTGCGAGATCTATGTTATACCTATAACTACGACCAAAGCGGTACGACGAGACGACTATCAACACAAACAGTTTTGTTCTCAATTTTCATCATTATAAAATCCTGTACTGACCTAAGCGATAATATATTTTGAAAATATTTTAATAACAAATGTAGTGCATTTTCTAAAACTGACCTACATTCGCATTAAGACATGAAATACAATATTGTTAACACAAATGTTTCTATACACTTTTCTAAATACCTACTATAAATAATATAATAACTGTATTCCGTTATCTGTATGTGAAATATTTCCAAAATCTTTACAAAACATTTATGCATCTATGTGAAACGCCGTGTGGGGGAGACAAATATCGCCATTGACACAAAAATTACTAGATTGTTATATTATATGATTCCCGTTTCTCGTGACACTTCTATAATAAAAACCGCGGAAATACATATAAAAAATGTATAAATATCATCGTCGACAAAAAGAAAATATAATTCGGATCCGTACCGTATGTATTGCATTACAGCTACATAATATTATGGGTTTTTGTTTTATTGCAAATGAAATGCATACTACGTATGTATGCTGTACGGTATAAACAAGTGGCCCGAAGAGTTTGGCATTATTGTAGATTTGGTAACATATTATTATCAGTTATCACATAGTATATAGCGAACATTGTGCATTATACTTATTATATAACACAACCAATCATATGAATATACCGCTTGTAGTTTATCAAGTTAGTTCCAGTTTTTATTTTTATATTTTTTACAAATTTCTTATAAACAAATCATATATTTATTGTGATAAATACATGATTTATTGGGATATTTTTTGTGATAATATTTGGCGTGTGGACAAATAATTCTACCGCTCGAGTCATCCGCAAACGTATTATCATGGCTTATTCATAATTTATATATATATATATATATAAATATTGAAAATAGATATTATTTAAATTTTAACTGTATATTTATGTACTATGTAGTTTAATTTTATCAAAAAAAAAAAAAATGCTGTAAACCGAATTCTGATATTATCCGATGTACCATACCGTATTCGTCACAAACGCAGATTTTACACGTGTCTTCGTTCTGTTATCTATTTAATTGGATTTTACTGATTTGTCCCGGGTTGTCGAAGGAATCATCATCATAAATCATAATATGGACCAAGATTTAACGGCGGACGACCGGTTGCCAAAAGTAAAATGATAACCATTTTCGTTTTTTCAGTGTTTCTTAATTTACACTACCCGAGGGCCGAGTTTCTATTAAAAACTCAAGTCCTTGGCAGAAAATTGTTTGCAGGTACCTACTTTTTTTTCTATTCCAATTCCGTTTGCCCAAATGGTTTTCTAGTCCACGCCTACTATGCACATTATAGTCTGTTCTGCGCCGTTGTATATACCTGCACGCGTACTTAAGACGCATTTAAAACGGGTAGTACAACTATGTAACAATAATAACGTATTTATATAGGCTTCAATCGGATTTGACCAATCGATGGCCAACCGGTCATTACCAAACTGTTCACGCACCGCCTCATTTTCAAAATGGTCGTCGTCACGGTCCCGGTGGTTTACTACACGTAGGTATATAATAATAATTGTTGTAGGCCTTCTCGGCCGACGTCGTCCACGGACCGCGGGTTACCTTTTTTTATTCGCATTATATTTGTCTTGCTTCGTTTCAAACGACAACAGCAACAATCGATTAGAATAAATCATAAAATAGTATTAGGTATGCGCCTACAATACAATTCCATCGATTGTTCTCTATTTTGTCTTTCTCCCATAAACGGCGACGGTGGCGGTCTTTGCTGGCGAGAAGGGGAGTTCTCACTCTGACCGACATTTGTTGCGTCACACAGACACGCCTATTCCTATGTCTATTGTATCTTAATATGCCTAAGATTTGCATATAAATATATATATATTATATTACACTTGTGCTGTTCCCACTCTTGTCGTCGGACTGTGGAATCAAAATCCCAGTGCACGGATAGTATTCATAAAAAAAAAAGCACGTCTCGGTATTTCATCATCATAATAATATTATTACACTAGTATATTGTTGCTTAAGCGGCAACACCGGTTATTTCATTTTTATCTATTTTACGGGAGAACAAAAAAACCTGTTCAACTTACCATTCAACAACATCTCGTTACCTTGTTATCAATCAAAGAATTAGCTCGTTATCTTTCGACGTTATCCTAAATCTGATGCCGCCACGAATCATCGTGTAGATGATACACATTCGCTTACAACTATTTAAGTGCACTATAGCCTATAGGTGCGATTATATACAAAATAGATCATATGGAAAAATATGATTTAGACTTGAACAGTATAGTCGCACTTACGTGTCCTCCTCAGATAATAGTATGTTGTGGTTACAATATAGTTCGTTGTAGTTCTTTTTAATGAACATAATTCATAACATTGGATAGTCGAAGGGATTATTTTTAACATGAAATTTAAGTAAAGCACAATAGCACCTCGAAATAAATTCATATACCTAAATATACTTGTATTCATAAATCAGTGTCTTGTCCACTGCTCAAAGGATCACTCCGCTCTAGTCGACTCAACAACAACGCCATTGAAACCTTTTTTCTATTATTTACATTCATTTCAAACAAAACAAATATATTCCCAGTGTAAATATGAACTTAAAGCTATGCTCATTAAGTATCTACACAAAATGTGCGGAACTTATCAATTTGTATAATGATAGCGTCGTTAAATGTTGTAAGAATTTCAGCACAACTCGAAACCCATAAAAGCACTCTCGAAAGTTCGATAAGTTTCTTCTTACGTTTTACTATTATAATAAATTGTGTATTATTTTATTCATCTGAAAATGTTCTTCGCTTTAATTCTTTACGTCCACGATCCTAACCTAACCTAACCTTTCTTTCAACGTTACCCAACCATCTCAATTTATTCTCTATAATTTTTTCTGTTATTAGCGCAGTTCCTAAACTATCTAACCACTGTTAGTATGTAACTAATGTAAGCTATCATCATGACGTGTGAATATAGGTTCAGTTGTAATTCTATCTCAATGCATGCACTATTCGGGCTTCTAGTGTATACCTATATATGTATATTATTGCACTATATCGCTGCGTGGTAATATGAATTCGTAACGATTCTGACGTGAGGTATCAATGTGTTACTATTATAGTGTAACCACTAATCACTGGTATAGAGGTTAGCCGTTAGAGTAATCATAGGCTATACATATTTTTATTAATCCCTTAATTATTATTATTGAATCGCTGCAGAAACGGCGATAGTGACGAGCCATTAGGTTAGGATTGCAGATAAAACACTTTATATTATATTATCCTATATATAATTTTATTCTTATCGTCGTGTGGCCTAACAGACGTTGAAGGTCCAGCGCAGCCCTTATGATACGGTTTCTTGACAAAACTTATGATTTTATTGGCTTTTAATCGTTATCATTATTGTTGCATAGACATAAAAACAAAAATACCTAATTATTGTCTATATACACCTTTAATACAATCGTCCCGTCTGTCTATGTTTTAACGATGATAGTTAAAAAAAACGTTGTCGACAAAATTAGAACAGGCATGTTATATTAAATTAGCTAGTTAGGTCTAAATCTTCTTTGATTTCAATGCCGACGAATCAAAGCCGCAAGCATAAAAACCGCATACTATGTTAGTCTAGACAACATGGTAATATAAAATATCTAATAAGAGCCTAGTGTCTGTATAAAAGATAATGCATTATATATATATATAACTTTACATATAATTTATTAATATTATATTACCTAGCAGACAATATTATGAAATAAGAGAACCGCTAAAGATGATTGGCCGTCGCCAACGCCCAACGCCATTTGTTTAATATAATATTGTTATAATATTTTTTTCAAATTATGTTTATAAATAATAGTAAAAAATACAATGTTTTAATGTGTGATGTTGGCTTTTTTTTGCATGTATGACACAAAACAAATGTAGTTATTATTTTTGAAAAAATAACACGTTTTGTCACTATAGTAGATACTAATAAATTAGTTATACTTATAATTAAGATAACTAATTTCATTGTGTTATACAAGAAAAATACTATAAACTTACATTTACCCCGTCTTACTCTTATACAAGGTGCGATTGTCTTATGCCCAGTGCATTATATAGATATTCGAGTGTAATAAATATGTTATATTTTCTATAACGTGCATAATGGTTATGTCATCAGGACTGGAAAGGATCGCTGAAGAGTTAATGGGAAGAAGAAAATGGCATCAGTATCAGGACATTTTGGCGAAAAATTATCTATTGGAAGAGGAATTGATGAACCAGAGAGAATGGGTTCCCGTCAAAACGTGTAATTCCTGTGATGTGATCACGGACCTGAGAGTAACTGATCACTCACCTGCAGAACTGGTAGGCATCTTTTATATTATGTTATGTATATTAGGTACTATCGGCACACAGTGCGCTGATTTATAGAATAATATTAATAATTAGTATTATTAGTATTGTAGATAATGGATGATAATAAATGTAATAACATGTTAAACTAGAGATACACGTCGAAAAGGCGACGACAGATGTATAACCTTTCAATTACACGCACGCCCATTGAAGTCCGGTTGTTGCGATGTGAGAATATGACCTATATTTTACAACATATATAATATAAATTATTATACAAATTTTGCGCCTTTGACCTCTGATACAGGTGTTCACAACATGACTTTATCGTTATTCATGGTAATTTGTTTTTTGTTTCTATGTCATATTATACACCTACACGCGAGGCCAGTAAAAAGCGACCAAAAAAAAAAAAAAAAATGCTATTTCGCACTTTTGCAATGAAATCCACTTCCTTTCTATTCGCAACCACTATTAACAACCTATATGTTGTAGCATTAATAACGATCCGCCAGTGTTCCATATAGATTCCAAAACACAAATTCCATCGGCTAAAAGGCACCTTTCGCCAAACTAAGGTCAGATTTTCATACAGCGTTATCATTACTTATCAAAGAGGATACATTAAAAAAGTTATTCTACATCATTTGTAGAAAGATGTAACTTTACCGTTAAAATGAACCTAACAAGACGTATCGCTCACTTAATATGGTCTTCTCAAACGTACATTTTCAGGACACTTGCACAAATGCGTATTAAATATTGTCAGCTACGGAGCCTGTTTTAAGACGGTGCGAATTTTGTATGTTTACAGGAGCCATCGTATGAAACAGGTAGCTTGAGCGGCGGCAGTCGCAGCGCAGAAAGTCCGGAACCCGAGGCGAGCAGGCGGTCCTCTCCATCCGAACAGTGTCGCGCCGATGACAGGTCGCCGCCGACGATGGCCGCGGTCGCATCGATGACGACGTCAACGGGCCCGCTGGACACCGCGGCGTCCACCGCGGGCCTGCCGCAGTGGCTGTTGGCCGCCACGTTGAGGCTACAGGAAACGGCGCAGGACGGCCGTTCGCCGCCGAGTAATCAGCAACAGCACCAGTCCCTGGACCAACCGCTCGATCTCAGCGCCAAGAGCACTGCGGCGTCCGGCGGCAACGCCTCGTCGTCCGCGTCGTCCACGCCGTGCCTGAGTTCGCCTTCCGAGCTCAAGACAACCACAAACCCATTCACGTCAGATCTCATCGCCGCCACGGACATGGTCAACTCACTGCACAACCTAATACCGACCGCGTCCACGTTCCTACCGCACCCATCGCTCAAGGTTCCGATACTCAACGCCAACAGGCATGTGTTCAAGTAAGCCACTCTCCTTTGCTGATTACAAAATTCGCCTTCTACTTCTTCTCTGGCTGTGGTCTTAGCCGCAACCGTCACCGCCTCGAGACGTAGTTTGTGCCGTGTCTTAACACACGTTTTCTACGATGTAGGGACCTTAGCCAACTTGTCACACCCTAGGTAAAGACAGCTCGGGGCCCCGGGTTCGCTAAGTCAGTAGACACTAAGGTTGCCCCCGAGGGCTAGAATTAGTCCTCTTCATCATTTGTTGCTCTGGCAACATTCGTAAAATATAAAAACCGATAAAACAAACGTATTTTCCGAAGAACGTAATGATATACAGTTGGTGTATGTACTTTGTAGAAATTGTTGAAAGTGTCACGATTTGATTTACATTTCACGGTATTGCGGATACGTCCTTCCCTTTTATGTTTGTCACATGTCCGACTTTGCAGAGCTAAGACGTGAATTGCAAAACGTATGATTTATTGCTCATTTCGATATAAAAATGAAAAAAGTTACAACGCATTATCTCACTGTCGTATTGAACACTTGCTGTATTCGAGTACTGAGACTAAACGTGCATACTGTTTATGTTATTGATCCTGGGTCCAGCAAAATATATTAAAGTGATTCAATACACAAAAATAATGTTATAGATGGACGCTTTTAATAAATATTTCTATGCAACTAAAACGGAATATTTAAGTACTTTCAAATAGCGTGTCATTAAAGTAAATCGTTTAATAATGCATTCTGTAATAGTCGATCATTTGCATGGAGGTATTATATAATCTTATTTTTCGTCGAATGTCACACATGTCGCAAACATCTGTGCTTGTCTGTCCACTTCTAATTTTAGCACGTGCTTTTCCGAATTTCGTCCAGCTCCGCACGTGATATTAGAATTTCGATAAAATAATATATTATGTATATTATATTCATTCTGGGGCACTCAAATAATTTTAAGATAATGCTGTAAGCTTATTTTCGATGGCAACACACGTCTATAATCTTGACGTAGATTATTTATCAATCCACAAATTCTGCAAGATTGGAAATTTACTGAAGTTATAGGGCTGAAATAATTGTTTCTTTAAATGTGAATAAACTGAATAAATAAATAAATAAAACTAATCGTGTTGTTTTTCTGTGCATTAGGCCGAAATCAAAACTCAGTACGATGGCCGGCCGTAAGAAATATACGGAAGACAAGTTGCAAGCCGCACTTAGGGACATCCAAAGCGGCAAGTTGGGTACTAGAAGGGCGGCCGTCCTCTACGACATACCTAGATCCACTTTGCGGAACAAGGTGTACAAGATGGCGATGGAACGGGACAGTGGCGTCAGGGACTCGTCGGGAGGCGAAGATCCCAAAGTCAACGCGGCCGAACTACTTCCTATGTTGCAAGCGGAGGACGACGAAGACGACGATGATCGGGACACGGCGTCGGCCGGCGAAGATGATTGCGGAGGCAGATCCGAAAGGGTGTCGACTGACAAAGATAACCTCAACGCCAGACCTTACTTGTCCATGGAGGACCTCATCAGGTTCTCATCAGAACAGCCGACCGCGAACCCGGCGTCCATGCCCACAACCGCCGAAGCACTCAGGCTGTTTTTCCAAAACTGCACCAACAGCAAACTGTTAAGCAAACAGACGACGGATCGTCATCGAGAGGTGGAATGCAAGTCACCGTCACCGCCTCCCAGGCTGCAGCCGATGCCTCCCAAGTTGCCGCAGGGAATGCCTTCAGACCTCTGGCCGGCTGCGGCAGCAGCAGCAGCCGCCGCCGCCGCGCTCGATCCCCAACAGATGGGCACGTACCTGTCCAGACTGCTGTCGACGTCGGCTTCCTCGCCGTCCGGGTTGAGCGCGTCGCACGTGGCCCACGAAAGCCCACCGCCGGCGCCACAAGATTTCCTCGCCAAGTACGCCACCGAAATTATGAGGAAAATATTTTACGACGAACAACAACAATACGGCGGCAAATCTGAACACCAAGGTCGGTCGTCCAACGGTTGTTCGGCAGAACCGATGGACACGGGCCGGAGCAATGATGACGATTCTAATCCGTCCAACGTAATACTGAGGATACCCAGTTTCAAACCGGTAGGGCCCAATATCAAATCGGAGCCGACGGAATCGACATCGGCCGACAGGGAACAGGCCGGTCACCAGTCAATACTGTCGCCGCCCAGGATGAATAGCAGCACGGCCAGGAGCGACACGTCGTCGCCGCCGCCGACGCCAGGCAGCAAAACGGCTGTTAACTTGAGGGATGCGATCGCCAAGAGCATTAGCCAGAAATTCCAACAACCGGAAGCATTGCAAGTAGAATCGTTCGCTCGGGCTTACCAACACTACCAGCAGGGTATGCCGATGTTCGGTCCAATTGTCCGAAATCACAACAACAACAATTTGCTCGAAGACAGGAAACGGGTGTCCACGCCCAACGCTAAACCGGCAATGGCCATGGCATCCACTCCGGCGGGATTCCAGGCGGGTTCGTCGTCCAACTCGTCGAGCAGCGGTGGCAAAGGAACGAGACCAAAACGGGGCAAGTACCGGAATTACGACAGGGACAGCCTGGTAGAAGCCGTGCGGGCGGTGCAGAGGGGCGAGATGAGCGTGCATCGGGCTGGATCGTATTACGGTGTGCCCCATTCCACGCTCGAGTACAAGGTCAAAGAGAGACACTTGATGAGACCGAGGAAGCGAGAACCCAAAAACCCACCGTCGGCCTCGTCCGTGTCCGCAGCCGCCGTGGCCGAGCAGGACCGAAAGAAAGACGCGGCGAGAACGGGCGAAAAGACGCCGCCGATTAAACTGCCCGCACACGTGTTTCCGTCACAACAACCGCCGTCACTGACGGCACCCAACGGTCTAAAAATGTTTGATACCCCACCCGTCGGGCCATACGGACAGCCCACGTTTCCGTTTTGGGCACCTAGCCCGTTCCACATGCCAATGGATTTTCAGCGCAACCCGGTGGCGTTTACGTCCATGTCGATGATGCAACGTATCCAAGCCGAGACTAGATTACACCACCAGCAGGCCGCGTCAATCGCTAGTCTGGGTAAAAACGCTCGCGAGGTGGCCGAAAATCTGTACGACGGATCCGACAACGGTAGCTTTTTGGACGGCATAATACGATCCAGCCTGGAGACGGGTCTCAAGTCGGCGGCCGCCATGGCTGCTGCGCAGGCCGCCAAGCGCAGTCCGGAACTCATCGATCAGTTGGGCCTGAAGGAAAGCGATAACCCGACGGCCACCGAAGAGCGGACGCCGTCCGGTGAATCGGGATCGGACACGGAAGACGAAAAAGCCGGTCTGTCGCCTCACGCCGAACAGCCAACGGAAGGACCACAGTCGTCAGATTCGGAACAGAAGAACACGTCCTCGCCGGGGCCGGCCAGCGCGGAACAGCCAAACGAAGGAGAACAATCGTAAGTCGACTAGGCGTTCATGGTGTTCATCACCATTGCACTCGGGCGGCGGTGTCGTCGTCGAGAACAGTATAGGAAATAGTCAACGCGGTTCATAAACAATTGGGAACAATTCGAATAAGTAAACATAATATAAATAATATAGTTATGATTATATTATGTATTGTGTAAATGCGTGTACAGAACACAGCGGGTAGATGTGCGTGGTAAGTTTTTTTTTTTGTAGAAATTCAATGAAAATATTATTATAATTGTGATCACTTAGTGCAATTTTATGAAGAACATGACCACCCACCCCGGTCGTTAATGGTAAATAAAAAATCATAAACATAAATTGTTTTTGAAAGCTGCGTCTTTGTGATAAAAAAATAATAATAATAATGTAATTATTATTATTATTATATTATTATTATTTATTTGTACGTTGTGTTTTTTATATTTATTTCGAAAATTTTAGTTTACATTTGTAAAACCATATTCGAAATGGTTGTAAACGTTTATAATATAGTTGTATATAATATTTTAGTTTATTCATTTCATTATTATTGGTTTTGCGAAAATAGTTTACAGTCCTAGCCACGCGGAAAATACATAGTGTTATACTTACTATTATTATTTGAAAAAAATGTTTGTGCCATAAAAAAAAAAAGGAAATTATATTTTTTTCAAATCCTTTCTAAAGGAATGCGTGTATAGTAATTTTCATATTTTTGTTTTCCACTTCCCGGTTGCCGAACAAACATTTTAATTTATTTTGATTGCATGTTTATTATAATTATTATATACGTAAGGATATTGTTTTTTCATCACTTAAATTTATATATGTATATAAAAACCAAATTCGAATGTTCATTTAAGACTATTATTTTATATTATTGTTCCTTTTATATAAACGCGTCGACGAAAACCGATGATATTATATTTATTATTATTATAATTATTATTATTTTAAATTATTTACTTAAACCAAGTGACAAAATTTTATTGTATTCGTTGTAGAAGATAAAAATATTATATCAAACAAAAGTCTGTCATTTTTTTTTTGTTCTTCTTTGTAAGCCAACTAATCATATCATTAAAATTAAACAATTAGGCAGTTTGTTTTTATATATTATTATTATGTACAGCGTTTTGATAATAAGTCACTATAAAATATTATTGTATAGAATATAAGTTCTATGCTATCATCTGTCCGATCACGAGGAAGATATTATAATTCAATCGATTTTACATTCCAAAAATAAATTACCTCGAATAGCCGATATTCGAAACTCAAAAGACAGTTATGCATTCCAAATAAAAAATCACTAATATTACTTTGAAAATATAATATACTTAATGTCTACACTACAATGCATTTTTTTGTAATATTTTTCCTTAGGAAGGAGGTGAGGGGATAGGAAACGAGCGTTACAGAATTTACATGGATTAAAATGTTGTATATTGTTATTGATAATAATATTAATCAAATAATTTGTGTTCATTGAAAAAAACATATTTTCAAAATATCGACTATTAATATGTGTATAGTCTTATTATTGTTGTACTGTGTTTTTTTTTTTTAATTACTTTAAGACATCATGTAGTCCTAAAGTTAAATTATGTATATCATGATAAAACAAAAATATTTTTTACTATTGTGTACAATTGAAAAAAAAAATTTCTAATTATTATTATTATTATTACTGTCGAATTGTCATTAATTTTACTCTGTACAAACATATTATTTTTAATAATAATACAAACTTCTTTGAGGTCAACTTTTGTACTAATAAAACAGTTATTTTTATTTGGCTTCCTCGAATATTATGTTGTTTAAGTAATACTAACAAATCAACTTACATAATTGAATACATAAGTGGGATATATATGATATACTTCGCGTTTTATTTGAATAATATACTGGACTTGTAAAAATAATGAACTTTTGTTTATTTTAGCTTTAATTGATGCTGCCCAGTGGCCGGTGTCCGTAGAGTACCCCAAAACAATTGATATTTTCAAAATGTTTAACCTGTTTATGTCTATCTTTGTACAACATTTTCCGAATAAATGTTTTGAAATGAAAATCCCGTTGACTCTCGGCATCCGGCACTATCATTTTCGTAATGCCAATTTTTTTTGTACACAAATTACGAACAAAGATAATTGTCAGGTTTAATGTTAAAACCGCTTCAAGAAAAAGCGATACAAATGTCATTATTTCACGCGCAAAGGCAACAAAAAATTGACAATTTGTTTAGTACCCGTTTAATACAAATAAATAATACTAATATGTACAGTGTAATAAACAATTAACATTGGTTTTGCTGTGAAAATTCGTTGTTTTAACGAACCTCCACAAATCCGGCGTTTTCGTTAAGTATCGTTTTCGCAGTACCCGGCGGTCTGATACCTGCCGGACTACCGAGAGTCCACTTTATTGACTTTACACTTGTATTGTGTTACCGTTGACTTTGTAATTTGACGATGCATAAATTACAACCTAATTGACGTGAAATTTCGGACATTAAATCCGAGTTTTTGAAATCGCTTTCAATGGCGGCAACATCGCGCAAGACGCAGACAAGTTCGTGTACAGTGTACATGTTATAAATTACATTGTAAATGTGGTGCACCATGTTTGTAATGCATGCTGGCGATTTTGTGACCTCACGTTACACGGTTGGACGTTTCAATTAAACGGACACAAAACGCTAGTTTAGAATACAACTGTGTTTGTGGTAGTTCGTTAATTTTTTTTTTCTTCAGCTCTCCAGCCGGGGGCTCCACTCATTATTAATATTTTTGTTTTTGCAGGACGAATCCCCGACACCGGTGCTGTCGGTCTTCACGACCTCGGGATTCAATTACGACGACACACAGATGCCATGCTTTTAGATACGATAACGGCTAATTGACTGAGCCGGCCGTTTACGAATTCGGCCAATTACATATTATACCACGCGATCGTACGTTGAACCGTATTTGAACCACTTTTGACGGACTCTTAATTTTCGTTCCCGACCAGACGCAACATTATTTTTACTGCGTCTTTATTAGGTACTGCGACAACGAACGAAAACGGCCGATTGCTAACCGATACCACAAGAAATATCGATATCATTTTAAATACTACAGTACCTACACATTTTGTTTGACCCGTGTATATAGAGGCCCTGGCCCCCGGTTGTCGAGTTAATTTTAAAACATTTTCTACCGGTGCAAGTTCAGATGGCCCCATATTATATTGACAACATAAAACGTTAATACGATTATATTTATTTTGAATAAAAAAAAACAACATCCAACTGATTTAAAACAGTATTTTTTTCCGTTCGATAGTCGACAATTTGAGCTTGGTGGCTGATGACTAATCGTTACACAATGGCAATAATAATATTTATCTACCTATGTACACACATAACATTATCGTGGTGACCCCATTTCGGCCGAGGGCGTGCACACGTGTTTGCGGTACAGTACACATACGGGGCGGACGTCAACTGTTGTATGCGTGTCTTTTAAAAAACACACAGCTAAAAAGGAGGAGCTGCTGTAAAATGTGGGGCAGGCCATCGCGAGGAGGATCTATTCCCGAACAAGATTCGAACCGGGTAATACCTTCACCCCGCGACATCGGTACTGCTAATATAAAAAAACCGTTCGACCTACTTTGTCTCCCCCGGCTTTATCGTTTACACCCACTTCCCCTCCCCTACCACACACAGGATTTTGTCCTATCGGCGACCGATTCGAATTTGATTTCCATACATGCCACCGGCCAGGCGGCAAACGGAAGTGATCGTCGGTAGTTGTTTTTTTTTTTATTTATTGAATTTCATTTTCAGTGTAATTGCGTTGCCGTGACGATCATCCCGCTGGCGACGGTGGCGCAAGAGGAGATAGACGGTCGTCGCCTTGCCGGCATATATATATATATATATAGGCCAACGCTAAAATTGTTATAGGTCAGGCGAGTAGGTACCGCAATCAGCCCGCACACGCACAAACTTAAGTGTAACGAACGGAAGCAATTTTAGTTGCGAATCGAAATTAAAGGCCTAAAACTTAATCGTGCGCCGACTCCGCGCTTTTTCTCTCTTGTAACGTGCACGACAGGCGACACGGCGGTAAAGGCAATACAGCTGCTGCTGCTGTTCATATATACATATAGACCGAGAGAAATTGTTTGCACGGCGCAGCAGAGTACGCTTAAAGTGCAAATTGCGATTATAATATAATAACCGAATGTGTTGAAGGCGAGTCATTTTGTTTGAATAACTCCCAACACTATCGCGTAAACTCCCCATACACCGCATGTACATGTTGTTAGAGGGCGAGAATGATATATTTTAATCAATTTTACAATAGAACAAAAACAATAAATGTAGTATCGATATATTTGATTTATCTTAAATTATGTGTTTGCTGTTATGACAAGGATTTTTATTTTAAATCTATCCAATGCTCGTGTGTCCACAGTCAGTTAAACGTTCCATTTGATAACCGCTGTATACTGGCTAGACAAAGAATAAGAATAGGAAAAAAAAAGACAGAAAGAAATGTAACGACTTCATTTATTAATAAACACCGTCGGCAACAGATTCGCTCAACAAACGTGTTGTTGTTGAGGTAGGACGCGAGATTTGTTTGTACCTAAATTGCCTAACCAGGACGCCGTCTTATGTCTTGATTTGTAGCTGGGAAGGTTTTGTTATTTTTACTGATTTTTTTTTTTAATTGTAATTTAATCACTTATAAACCACCAGGCCAGATTTCTCCATGCAACCAGGTGATTTCTTCTACGCAATAATTTGTAATTGATTTAGCGAAAATGGTTGTAAATGTTCAAGTTAAAAATATAATTTTAAGGATGATTTTAATGGGTTACCTAAGACAAATAGTAACATACCGAATCGGTTTACATAAAATTAACAATATACTACAAATAATGACTGGTCGAAGTACAGTTTTAAATTATTAGCATTTAAAGATTGTTAAACACCTAAACCATTATAATTTATAACTTAAATTTAAAACCCCTTTATTTTTGTAAGACGGCGTTACGTATAGGCAACTTAGGTATCATGTACTATATTTTGTGTGCGTAAATCTAACATTAATACTACCTACCATTTCAGTTTTATAAATCATACCAAAGGTGGACTAGCATTGTCAGGAAAGTCAAGGTGGCATAGAAAAAAGTACATAGTTAGTCCAACTAAAATTATAGTTAATATAGGGACACAATAAACTTCCAGTTGGAATAACTAAATTTATAGTTGCTTAAACCAAAGATTTAGTTGGCTATTTATAATACTAAATGCTTAGAACTCTCAACCTCGCCTACTAAGTCACCGGTTATTGTCATCACTCGTCTTGGTTCGTCAATATCTTGTCCTCTTACTCAAAACTCATACTCAATTTATTCTGTTTTACTTCTCCTAATCCTTAGCCCATTATCCCTCGAGCCTATCTGCAAAACATCATTCACGTTAGTACCTCACTCAGTATTTATTTTGTAACTTCATCCATCACCACAAGAGAAAATAGATTAGGATTCAAAGCAGAACCCAGGTGCAGTGTGCACACCTACTAAAACACTAAAATCCGCACATACTTTTGATACTGGTGTTTGAACCTTCGTAACTCATTTTCTCACCAACACCCACTTAAAGCCTCTCTCGGCACTCAGACATACGCTTTTTCTAAATTGATAAAAAACAACATTTAGCGAGCTCTCCGATTTATAAACAAACTCTTTATTTAAAAGAAATTTAAAAAAGAACATTTTTGGCAATTTAATAAGACACCCCCTTAAACTTTTTTTTTTCAAAAGTAAAAAAAAATCCTAGCATATTATCTGTTCAATTACGAACAAAATTACTATAGTAAGAAAATAAAATACTTGATTTTTAGTAAAAAAAAAAATTTACTAACAACTTTAGTTAACACCATTCGTCCTTCATAGTTTTTCGTCTATTCTCTGTTATTCTACTTTAATCTAATGAATAGGTAGATCCAATGATTTGTTTATATTATATTAATATAGTACTGCCACTATATTTTTAAGTTATAATAATAATAAAAATTGTAAAAAAACACATTTTTTACAACAAAATACTTAAATATAGTGTTGTAGTGTTGAAATTAGGATGTACCCATGCAAGGATACTAGACACTAACAAATTGAAGAATTACTAAACAATTTTTTAACTTTTACCCGTAAAGATAAATAATAACTAAAATTGATAAACTATTCAAGTAGATTTTCATGAAGTTTGCACTTTGCAAGTAATAGAAATTGCATAGCAATGATAGTATTATAATTTAATATATCATAATAATTATAAGTAATAAACACACAGCTGATCAATATTTATTAATTATTTTAATCTGTAATGAATAAATAAAATGTAATTTTTTTAATGTTTTACCTATCAATTTATTAAAAATGTTACTATCAATATGACTAATACATTTTGTTTAAAAAAATTATTTTAAACTACAATGTTAAATTAACAGCTATCATTAGTACAATGATACACCTTATATATATATATATATATATATATAAGGTTAAAAAATGTCATACAAAAATTACATAATACAATAATACAATAATGTACACATATATGTTTTTACAAATAATAATAATTATAAAGACAAATTGTAACCAGATAATAAAATCAATACTGGTTTCTGGGCTTTGGCCAATAAAAGTACATATTAATACACAATGGTAAAGAACACAGAAATTACACATAAATAAAATTTACCTACTGAACATTCAAATTGAGCAGTAGCTTAAATGTGATTGTATGATAGACAAAACGATAGTACCGGCTATTAAACTGGGATCCGTTGAATTTGCTTCCTATGCGAGTGTCTGTATTTAATCACATATGCTTCGATCAGACTTTGTATTTTCTGCGGATTGATTTCTCCACTCTTATTGTGACAAATCTGAAAATTTGTAATGTTATTATTATTAATATTCATTTGTAAAATGTCTATATAAAATTATTATTCATGCTATATTTGAATTGGTTAAACATTAACATACCTTAGGTACTGCTTTTCGCATAATGTCTTTATATTGTTCTTTTGTTATATGTTTTTTATTATAATGAGGTTTTAACACAAGCTTCACCTCATCGATCACTCGTTCTTGACGATTCAATTTCTCCAAAAACTAAATAACACCAACAACGATTAATGAATGATGAAGTTTAATAAATACAGCATTAAGGATCAACAGTATTGAAGGCACATGAATATGATTACAACAATGAACTACAAACACATTAAGAATTGTTAAACATTTTCCAATTTTGAAATTATGCCTCGCACTAATATTAAAAATAGTTTAATGAGTTTCAAATTTCTTTGACATTTATCTGATTTATATATTATTATTAAATACAAAATTACCTTATTCTTAGATTCTAATTCAACAGCGGAACTCGGTAAATCATCAATATTGTCATCACTCGAGGCATTGTTTTGTTTAAAATCTGAAAAATTAAGTGTAGTTTTAAATGTTTTACAGATGTATTAGCATTATTAAATATATTACTATATACATACATTTTGATTTGGATAAAAACTTTGGAGGTTTCATATTTTTTATTATAAGGCTATCAAAAACATTGGCTGGTTTAGATCGTGGTAGTATACTGAGCAAAGTATCCAATTTACTTCTAGCCGATTCAATTTTACTCTGTGGCTGAGGAATAGCTACGTTTTTGGGAGCAGGAGTTGGGCTCTCGGGTGATGATCCTTTAAGCTCGTCGACAAAACCTTCTCCAGGTGAATAGGGCGAATCAGCTTCATTATCAAAAGCAGTAGTTTGGCTATCATCGTTGTCCAGATTAATTATTTCATCGTCTTGTGCGGTAACAGGCAACGGTTGTACAACAGGGCTAGGAGCTTTGGTCGCAGGTGGACTAGTGTAAAGTGATGAACTCGCAGTTGATGTTGCCAGTTTTTCAGGAGAAATTTTATCGGGTTGTACAGGAATCTCTAACGGAGACGTCATAGTGGTGGTTGTAGTAGTCTTCGGTGATGTTGATGATTGCTCATCCACTGCCTTACTCTCTTCAAGAGGCTGTATCGTTGTATTGTTGTGATCATCCTCAAACATGTCAATTCGAGGAGGACTAGGAGAGTTTGATTTAGTTGGTTCAAAGGGATCGTATGCCGTCTCACTAGCTGTTGTATCCACCGACCTTGGAGGTTCTGGGGGCGTGTTGGGACCTCGGCCACGAACATCAATAGATTTGGCGCAATCCTCATCTACATTGTTGAACTCGCAGCTATTCTTCGAAATTGAATCAGATTTTGACAAAACATTTGTTGGTTCTGGAGGAGTCTTGGGACCACCACTAGTAGTTGTGGATATTGTTTGGGTACTACATTCATTTTTCTCTACAGGTTTTTGTTCAATGACATTGTTTTCTTTTGGTTTTTCTGGGCTGATATCTTTTTTCGTGTCTTGTTTTGTTACTTGTTTGTCTTCGTCACTGTCAGTTAATACAATAACATTTTTAGGAGACACAGGTAATTCTCTAAATGGAGACGTGTTTAAATCTATTATTGCAACTGGTTTAGCATTAACTATTTCTAGTGTTCTCGTTATCTTTTTACGATTTAGTCCTCTTTTTATAGCTTTTTGATTAGCAGTACTAACAACAGAAGTAGTACTAATAGTTTTCGATTTTTTAATTGATAAAACTGTCGTAGTTTCTTGGCGCTTACGTTTCACTGGTTCTTGTGTAGTTTCTTCACTAACAGAGTCTTTATTAAAATTAACGCTGATTAATATGTTATCACCAGACGCGTATACTTCTTTGCTGGGAGGGACAGCGATTTGTCGTGTAGTGTGGCGCTTAGTCTGCTTTGATTTTTTCGTACTATCATTTTTCACTATTACTGTTAAATTGTCCAACGCCGCTAAGTTTTCATTATACTCGGGATAATCTTGATCTCTAGCAGGATAACTCATATCCAAGTCTGTTGCATGACGGCCATACACAGGAGATGGCGTTCGAGAAATATCCGTGTGTGACCATGCACAGTCTCTTGGCGATTGCCACACCTGTATTCTAGATGATATGGAACGAGAGGGTGACAAATATTGATCTTTTAATTTTTTCTTTGTTTTCTTTTTAGACGACTTATTATTTTTTTGTAATTTTTTCTCATAGTCTTTTTCAATTTTCGAATATATACTTGCTTTTTCTTTGGATTTTTTTGTATTGCGTTTAGGAGGCAAAGGCGATAATTCACGTTCATCATAGAGTGCTGGGGATCGATACCGTTCCTTCAATTGCCCTTGATTTTTATCATGTTTATTTGAATGTTTAAAACTTTTAGAACCATGTCTACTACTTGATCGGTGTCTACTTCTCGAACGATGTTTACTAATTGATCGGTGTCTACTTCTAGAACGATGTCTACTATTTGATCGGTGTCTGCTCCTGGAACGATACCTTTCCTTTGATTCACTGCGATAACGACTTCTAGATGGCTTACGATTTCTTGGTTTAATAGGCGACACACTACGTCTACGTTGTTTAGAATGACTTCGTTTATTCTTCTTACGCTTATTTCTGTCTCTAGAATCAGAATCACTATGACTAGATTTAGATAAATCACGCCCAAATTTGTCTTTTTTTCTTCTAGGTCTGTCTTCTAACACTCTTCGTACGTCATACAATTCTATTTCCTTTCTCTTTTGTTTTTTTTCTTTATTTTTATCATTTTCTTCACCAATTTTCTCTTTTCCCTTACCATAACGATAATTTCTGTCTTTAGAGTTCTTAGATAATTTTTTCCACGGAATACTTTCCTTATTAGATTCTTTCAGTTTCATTTTAGTATTATGATCTAAATCTTTTTTATCTTCATTTTTGCCATTTGATAATTTTTCTTTATTATTAACAGCATTTGAACTAGTATTAAGACCTTTACTTTTTTTCTTATCTTCTTCCGAATCTGAAATTGGATCCAAGCTCAAATCGTTTATTACCTCCTTAACATCACTATCAGAATTATTTATTATTTCACATGAAACTTCTGATGGCATATCACCAATTAATATTTCATCTTCTTTACTTACTGCTTCGTCTATATTTGATTCAATTGCAGATTGTGTTTCGGCTAAATCTGAATTACTATCATTATTGATTATGCAGTCTTTATTTTTACTTTCCTTAGTCAAGTTTATAATATCTGCATTATCATCATCACTATTGTTTGATTTGCATTCTTCTTCTGCACCAGAATTATCAGAAATTACACAGGTATCATCATCTAGAGATGTTTCAGTATTAGTTTTTAATTGTATTTCATTAAATTCTAGATCTTCTCCTACTAGTTTCGATTTCAAATTTTTATCTTGGCTAACAGGCGGCATAGGAATATCTTGAAAATCATCTTCTCCTTTGGATGCATCAGCTTCACACTCTTCGTGTGCTTTAGGCGAATTTGATAAGTTAAGGCTAGCTGTAGAATACAATGATATATTTGGACAATCATCATTAGTTTCTTTTTCATCATCATCAGACGATAAACCTTCATCATGGGGTAACATATTATTAGTTTGATTTGGAATAAACGGTAAAGAACTGGTTTCAACTTGTTCCATGTACCCACCATAAGTTGGTGATTGCATATAAGTTGTTCCAGCTGATTTATTTACATCTGTTGACTCATCAATTTCATTAGGATTTTCAGGATCGTAGTAGTCGTTATCGTCAATAACTAAGTTATCGGCTTCATCTTCATCTAGATTAATACCCATTAACAAAGCAGGAGGTTCTGGAGGAGGCTCAAGAGCTTTAAATGATTCGGTCGCTTGTGAACTAGATCCACTTTCGTCTTCGACGATTATTTCAGTAGTAACAGGTTTTGGTGGAGTTTGTGACTGTTTTTTTTCGCCAAGTCTGGTGACATTCATTCGAAATTTTATAGGTCCAGAATTTCTAAAAGGGAAAGGATTCACCGGTTGATTTTCACTGAAATTTTGGTTAGCCGGTAATTGATGGTCGTCATAAGAGCTCGAATTTCCTACTACTTCAGAATGTGACTCGTTGTTATTCCTAGGATAATTTCTACTATTATTGCGATTGGATGAATAATTGTTGACGTTATTTGTATTTCTATCAGAATGATGATCTGAATACATTGGAGTTTGTGTAGTGTGTTTGTCGACATTTTTCATTTCATTTTCCATAGTTTTCTTTTTAAATTCCTTTTCTTGTACATTCATAATAGTATCCAATATGTTAATTGATTCTGTATTATGCGATATATTTACATTTTTCCTGACTGGCCTACGTAGAATTTCACTAATTTCTTTGCGGGAAACTATATCAGCAGTTGAAAAACGTATTCGAGGTACCGTTGACATAAACAATGGTCCATCGCCACCAATGTCGTTTTCACTGTCCGACCTACACAAATTTAAAAACAATTTATTTCATGTCACAAAAAAAAAAAAAAAAAAAACATACTCTAATGGTGTATAGTCCAACTCATAATGGTTTCCAAGTATACTTAAAGATGTATGATCAACGAAATTGCTGAATGTATTACTACTCATAGTATTACTACTATCAGAAGTTCTGTTCATTTGGGTCGAACATGTACCTAATCGCTCAGCTAACATTGAATTATTTTTGTTAGATCGTGGTTTTTTAGCCTATAATACAATTGAACTAATAAATACACATAAGTTTTTTTTTATAACATCTATTTTTACCTTTCGAAATTTGTTTGTCTTAATTTTTCTTTTTCTATACTTTCTGTTTCTACATACTTTCTTTCGTGTATTACTAGACAGCATCACACCTTCTGCAACTGTCTATAAAAAAATTTTTAAAAATTTTCATAACATTTATAGATACATATGTTGTGTATAAATAGTTTATAGAAGCTTGCCAACCATGACTATCTGTTGTAACCGACGAGTATTCATTCTCACTCTTTCGCTAGCTCTAGTACGTGGGACTAATCTTGGTTCTTGCTGCCGTGATATTCTTGTTCTTCGTCCTCTAGTTACTTGTTCATCTTCACTTAGGTCGTTTAATATATCAATAACTTCGTCTTCATCAATATCGTTATCACTCTGCTAATAAAATTATTTAACTTTTACTTTAAATAATTTAACTTTAAAAATGAATAAAACTAAAAAATCTATTAATTTTAAAAGTTGAAATCCTTCGAGCTGGTAAATTAATATCTCTATAACACATTGTTATCTAACCTCTTCTCTTGACCGACATTGTGGACAATACCACTCTTCCAGTGGTACTCTAGAAAGAGGTGGATTTAGGCAGTCCATGTGATATCCACAATCACAAATATCACATAAAAGCATTTCGTCTTCACGGTTGCTCAAATGGCAAACCTTTAAAATGGACTGGTTTTAATAGATATGCTACCGTCTTTTTAATAATGATTTATAAAAAATATACTCACTTCACAATAGGTTAAATCATCAACATTGTTTACTTGTGTTATCTTTTCGTTATTCTGACTTACATCTATTTCACTTAGCACTTCTCCGAAAACTGATCGCACAATAATAAACTTGAAATCTAATCGATCAATTGGACATGTTTTAGCATTCTAGAATAAACAAATACAATAATAACAGAAAAAATTTAGTCGTTTAATAAAATTCTGTATATTAAACAAAAATATACATACTTTAGCCCATTCGGTGATACAATTTAAACAAAATGAATGTAAACATGAATTTGGTGATGCTACATTCTCTTCACCTAAACGAGTAAGACATATAGGACATTTTGCGGATTCTCCGTCAGAGCTGCTAGATGAACTTTCTTCATCACTCTCTATAACCTAAATACACCAGAGAAATTATTAATAAAAATTATATTTTAAGTTATTTGTTATAGTTGTAAAACTTACATTTTGTTTTCGACGCTTATTCCCAGTATCTAAATCACTATCACTGTCTCCAGAGTCTCCCATTTTTATGTTAAAATTTCTAAAAAAAAATATTTAAATAACCATAAATAAAGGAAATGTTTATTAATGAAGTAAAATAATGTTTTATAATACACACACGTAACATAAATCAGACTAGTTTCGAGGTTATATATCCAGTTTCCTTATAAGCGATTCGCTGTAATGGGAAACATATTATAAAGAATTTAGAAATGAAGTAAAAAAAGAAAGAAAAAAAAAACTCAGTTGTTAATTATTAAACTTGGGTTTGGATTATAACATTACAATACATTTTGTTTTTGGTTAGAGCAAGTTTTAATAATTTTAGGTAAGTAACATTTTAGCTATGAAAGTATAACTATTACAGAATTGATTTAAAAAAATTTAATTTGACTAAGAATGATGATTTCTTATCGGACTATTGCAAAAATCTACTGCTAGTCTATACTTATGTTTCACTATAGTTCCACTAATGAAAACGTTGATAATTTAGTTGAGTCAATCAGAATACCATAGCCAGACATTTTAGATTTAACTTAATATATTTAGTAAAAATCCATTCAGTGAATTTCAAACTAAAACTAATAACTATTAGATATGCTAATATTTTGATACCAAAAAGAAAAAAATCATAAATCGATGTAAAGATTTTTATCTAATTAGGTGTTATAATGTTTAAAATAATTTATAATAAGAGTTTAGTTATACAAACTAACACTATTAAGTTACCCAAAATGTGTACTAAATAATTGATTCATGAAAAGTAGACCAAAATGTCAACAATTCTACATCAAACCTAAAAATTATTGCTTTACCTAATCACTAGTATTTACAACTAGTAACTGAATTGTTATTCAAAATAATGAGAGTATACACAATTGAAAGTAATTTTGTTACAAAGCAAATTATTAATAACATAAATATTCCATTAGTTTGTTAATAATTCATTTCAAAACTACACAATTTGGAGTATACTAAACTAGTAAATATTTAATATTTGATTATTGGATTTAGTTCATAGTTCATTACAAATAAACATAATATACCTATTATAGTTTGTTTAATGTATTATAAGTATATAGTTTAAAGTAAAATCATTACCGTAGAGCAATATAGTTGATATGCTATTGACTTCTTAAACTGTTGAGCGATATAGCAAATGCGGTCTTAACAATTAAAAAGAACATTCTCTATCTTGTAGGATAAGTGCTGTGGTACGAATATTTGTCTAGGGATGCAACATCAGTCATCGTCCCTGCGTCTGATTGCACTCGGTATTCTGTCGGTTCCAACTAAGTCGGTCGGCGATAAACGTAATTGTGTAAAACAGACACAACGATACAATTGAAACGGGTATCAATAATAAAACAATGCGTCTTATTCATGAACAATACTATTTACTAACTTAAAAAGTTCATACAATTAATTGGTGGTACACAAAAATAATCACAATTTACAACAAATCACTGATGTCCGACGGACAATGTGACAGAAGAGCCAACATATTTGTTGAATTCAAGGACGCTAACCATCAGTGTCACCAATACATATTCTGACTAATAAATGATAAGAAGTCAGGATTACCTCCAGCTCAATCACTGCTATGGATACCTCCGTGATTTACAACTAAACAGCAACAACTACAGGCTATAGATATTAGATCGAAACTTTAAGAAAAAACTACCTGACACCAGACACACATTAAAGATTTAAGTTTTAATTATTGTTAAATAGTTATTAAGATGTAATTATTTTGTTGTGATTTATAGACATAAAACATAAAATCATGACACTAAAGGCTAACTTATATTATAGGTTTTATGATTACAATTCATAATACATAAGATTTTCATATAATCTGAGGCTGTAACGTTTCGTGACTACAGTCAAGGGAACCAACGATTAACTGATTTTCTAGCAATCATCTGGATTATTGAAAACTGCGATTTTAATTAATGATTCTGTTTTTGCTGTAACACGTTTTTTTTCAAAAATTCCATAATTTCTTTCAAGTTTCAACGGTATTTTTTGTTCGTATTTTAACTCATTTTATAGCTGCTTTAGTAATGAACTAATACTATGATGCTGGATCAATTACTCTGCGAGGGTTTTCAACATTTTCTTCATTTCGGACCTTTCAAACTTACTCATAATACCAGATTGTTAAGAATGGTAGGAATCTAGGACATCAAACAACATCCTCAATTTTCAAATAAATCATCTCGCACAGCTTGTACATTAATGGGGAATTTTCTATTTCAGAAATTTGTATGCCTTAATACCAATGTTTACATTAGTTTAAGTACATTACAAAAATTGTTTGCTACTCCCTAAATTGCCTTCATTTGTCAAAAAAAAGAAGAAATGTGTAAAATTTCAGCCTTTTAAGACTACCAAGTGGTTCCTATAGAGTATTATAATTATCCCCATTGAGGTAACACATATGAAATACATTTTTCATTAAAATCACCATTACATGAAAATTTTTATTTTTAAATTTTAAAAAAGTTCTGAAAGCTGACCATTTCACCTTCAAAATATGCTACAAGCCATTTGATCTTGTTAATTTGTATTGAAAAAAAAAATTAATTAAATTATGATTTTAAAATACATATAAATTTTGGTTTTGGCTATACTATAAAAATCTTGTTTGTCTTTTTATGTGCATTTTGATTGTTGGGATTATGGTCTTAGAAAATTTGAAAGACATATTTTTATAGTTAACCTATTTGGAACTTTTTCCACACCAAAAATACAAAAGTGTCAAACCATATACAAGAACCTATCAAAAAATAACTGAACATCCTTACCACCTTTTTGAATCTTCTTTTTAATTTATAATTTAATAAATTGCCCTTCTTTAATATTTCATTTTGATTTTAAATTTAATATATGAAGTATTTCAATTTTAAATAAATATCACAATGACACTTTATACCTCTGTTAAATTTTAAAAAGTGACATTTATAAATCAGTAATTTACTGCATCAAATAACGTTAAATACAAATCACATAACAGAATATAAAAAACATAGTTTTCATAATATAAAAAAGTATGACTCTCAAGTTTTTTTTTGATTCAAATTAAAAACTTGAAACAAACTACAATATCTTATGTTTTTGAAGTAGCCATAATATGTTTTAGTAAAGCTGCTCTCCGATCAGTGTTTTGAAACAAAGCTTTCAATAAACCTTTAATTTGTTCCACAGTCAATTCATTAGCCAATGGTCCTTTACCATCTGCCCATCGATTTTCAATATCTTTCATACTGGAACTCAGAACATAAACTAATTCATTTAATTGCCACCATTTAGGTATATATCTATGCACTTCTTTTGGTTCCTGTAATTTATATATTTGTTACTATAATTTATTAAAAAAAAAAAAAACAATAGTACTTTAATACAGCTAGCCAAATTAGAGCTGCAATCGTTGTAGAACTAGTAGAACAATTCTTTGAACTTGGGTATTCTACATATACAAGTGCTCGAAACGGGTTACACTTAGACATATAGAATTTTGAGTAATCATTATATTTTAACATACATTTAATAAACGAGATTTATAAAATAATTTTAAATGAATAGTATGCAGGACCCTGATGGAAAATCTTCATTAAGTGAGTAACGATTGCGACACTAATTTGGCTGGCTTTAGTATAGGATTTTTAATTTACTGGGAATAAGATTGGAACATCTTTAATAATTTTGTTGAATATATTTGAATACTGTCCAGCTGACGTTGCTGATATATCTTGCAATTTAAACATCATACTGATAATACACTCAAATAGTCCATTACAAGAGTATCCTAAAAATTAGTCATTGACCAAGTTTAGAAAGGTTATTATTTTTTAAATTAAATATGTAATTTTAACTCAATAGTTTACCCATGAATTTACAATAAACTGTAGATGGCAAAATGTTTTTCCACAATCCGCTTAAAACTGAAAGATGATTATAGCACTCGCCAATGCTTTTTTCAACTGAATAACCTAAATTTGAATTTACTGCCATTGCAAGAAGATCTAAAAAGCCAAACATTTTTTTATAATAATATTTTTTAAATATAACATCCTTTTTTTTCTATATATTTTATTTTACTTTATGTTTTATAAAATAATAATAATGTATAGGTAATAAATTCAAAATGACGTGAAAACACGGCAATGCTAACATTGTAAAAGTACCCTAATTGTTATTATTTTTAACTGTTTTTAAAATTACGCACCTGATTGGTTAACAGTTTTTTCCATCTGTATAATTTGTTGCTTGCATTGAGTGTGTAATATTTCACTTGCTAAATTTTTTAATTTTTCAAGTAAATGAACAATGAGAAGGTTTTTATAAATTGGACTCATTTCAGCTAATTTACGCGTAAAATACATTATATTATTGTAAAGAATAGCTGAAAGGAAAACAACAAAAATTAGAAAACATTATTGGTAATTGTATTTCACCACATATTTACCAGACTGCTGAGGATGCAGTTCTAATGTTTTACAATGCTGAAGTGGTATCATGTCACAATACATAATCGTAATGTTGTTAAGTATATCATGATAACGCCATGCACTGCTTTCTGATGTGCTTGACATTTCTGATGTTATGGTGTCTATAAGATTCAGTAATTCTAATAATGACTTGCTGAAAAAATATATTTATTATAGGACATAACATATTTTCCAACAAATTTATTAAGTTTTAATAGTATCACTTTTAGACTTGCAATTTAAAATTATTTTATATAACTAACGGTTTATAAAAAAAATATCTACTTCTAAATTCTGACACTTATTAGATCAGTAGACCAGAGGGATGTAACATAATGTATAGCTCTAAATTAAATTGTTCAAGACTAAATGGAGTTGCAACAATTAACAACTCTAGTGATTATCCAACTTCTGTACTTTTTTGAGTTTTACTATATTTAGGTTAGGTTTTTAACATCTTATAAAATACAACTAATTGTTTACTGAAATTTAACAATCTGATGGTGCCGAGTGTTAATGTGAAATTTAATATAATATACTATTATAAACCATATTTTAAAAACATTACTATAACATTTATGTCTAAAAACTATTATGTATCACTTTAGTAACACATTTGTCAGGCAATTTGCCTTAATTAAGGTTTTTTCTTTCTCATATCCGAGTAGAAAGCATAACATATGTTTACATGAACAAAATTTAAGAATACGAGTTAAACTGGCTGTCCCTCAAAGATTTAACAAATTAAATCAATTTTGTTCTAGTGAATATTTATTTTTTTTAATTAATTTATACTCATTTGAGCTATAAACACGATGGTTTATATTGCTTTTATAATTATTTTTGTGACCGGTCCACAGTTAAATTATTTGGGCATGTATCTAAACTTTTTTAATTATTTCAACTGGTTATTCTCGAATTGTAAACTAAAGTTATCTCTTATGAATACTATCTTAAGAAAACAACCAAAAAAAAAAAATACATTATTAAATATTTCAAGATTTTATACTTTTCTCTGATTTAAATGTTACTATTATTAAAGTCAAATTTTACACTTGCTGGGACCAATCACTCAATAGATGCAATTATGTAATGAAAATTTAATTAAAATTACAATTTTTACCTCACTTTACTTTGTGGATATGCAAAAAAATGTTGACAAAAGCCATTGTCATCTTTAGTATCTTCTTCAGATGTCCATTGCCTTTCCTAAAAATTTAAATATTAATCAGATATTTCCTAATATTAAATTTAATATTATAAACTAACATTGTTAACTTCAATTAGGTCATGCAAATCTTCTTTTATAATACTCCTAGCTTTATCATAATACACTTGGCTAACTTTGTCAAAAAATATTTGATCAATGTTTTCTATGTTTTTGATTATGTCATTATTGAACTCCTCAAAAATACCTAAAATTTAAAGACATAACACAAGAAACATCAAGAAACAAATAAATACACAGAAATTAAAATTACTATTAAATACCTAATTTGTTTAAATAATTATTAAACTCGTATACTGCTTTTAACTCTTCTTGAAAATCTTCAAGCTGGTTATGTTTAACGGGTACAGCATTAAACAATGCAACACTATTGAAAATGTTACAAAAAGGCTGATTTATATAAGATCCTAAATAAGGCATAATTTGAACGTTATCTATATCTGTAGGCAGCATAATCTTCAAAAACTCCAAAACTTTTTTAAGTTTATTTATAATAGTAAATAAAAAACCATCGTCATGTTTTGAAATTTTTAACGTCAATGTAGAATAATGCATAGTTCGGCTAACAGAAACTTCGTAATTCTGAATGATTATTGGTGTTATTATTAAATTCATCAGCTTATTGGCAAATTCTTTTACTTCGGCGTCTAAAGCATCAAAGTATTGTAATCCGTATATACTATCACAGATGTCTTCTTTATTGCCTGATATTTTTAATGTAGTTTTCCAGGATTCTTGGTCATCTAAAGTATTTTCTTCCCATTCAATTTGTTTTCTCCATGATGTGACACAATTAGAATGTAAGACATCTGTAAGCCTTTGATGTTCACGCATTAAATGTTTATATACATTCAATTTAGATAATTGTTCATTATTTAACAATATTTCTTTTGCAGTTTGTAAGTTTTTTATTCTATCAACCAATAATAATTTTGCTTGGTTATCATGCATAAGATTCATACTAACAACAAGCACTTGTTCGATAACATCTAAGCTGAACTTGCTCTCTTCTAATGTAGATTTAAACATTTTTAAATCACACATTGCATCTGCAACTTCTCGCTTTGTCTGAAATTAAAAGTAACAAGAATAAAATAAAAAGTTAATAAAAATTATGATTTCTTTAAAGCAAAAAACGTATTTTTATAAAAAAAAAAACAAGTAAAAATAGAGGAAGAGAGCAAAAAAAAAAATGGAAAAATATTTTAAAAATAGCGCATTAAAATCTATACCTATATAACGTACTTGATTATCAATCCGAGATATTAAATTATTGATTTGACTTGAATAGGACTGAGCAGTATCTAACAATGAGGCTGCATCCCTGGACACAACGGCAAACTTCATGTAACGCTGTTCCATCGCATCTTTGATATCATATTCAAGGTTAGCGATTTTGTGCTTAAGTTCCGATACATTTTTATCCAAGTCTGTCATTTCAACCTCACCTTTAGAAAATGATTATTAAAGTAATACTTAAGAAATAGCTAAAAAATATTTTAATAAAACATCCACATAATAAAATAATTTTACCTGCCGAGGCTAACACAGCTGCTAGGAAACTCATAACTTTTGGAATTTCCCCGATGTATATTTATGAAATAAAAAAGTTAATTGTCAATCAATAATAGTCATAAAATAATATTTTATACAATGTATCTAATGATAAGAGCGTAAATTTACAATGCTGAATGATCAGAACTTTAAAATTTTGTCAGTTAACGAATAGAATCAAATAACAAATAACAATAATGTTCAATCAGTATCATCTGAAGTTACGTACGATCTAGCTCATGTTATCAACATTTAATATAATTATTTTGTACAAGTGATAATCTAACTACCAAGTATATGGTAAGAGAGCAGCAGCTGCAGCTACAACCCCTTGTAGAGAATTGTCTTTTACTCTTATCACTTTGTATGGGTCGCCATATAATATCATCCAGATGAGTAGGCCATAGGGTTCAAACTTCAATGCATTCATCGAGATAAAGAATACACTGTGTAATCTTTACCTCGATGAATGGATGTAACAACCTTTTTAATACATAGACCTACTGAGGTGATAAACATCATGGTATATTTAAGCTATGACCGATCTAGTATTTTAGAGGTTCTCTTGTCGGTATCCAAGATTGTAGCCTACACTATTTATTTATTATTTATGATGTAGCTTCTATCTGGTATCAACAACATTTGTAACACCAACAGACAAAATCCGATAGAGTGCGCTCTAATATTAGAATTTTTAATTTATTGCTGTGCGAACTCAAAAGCATCAGACAGTTTATGCAGAAAGATTTGCACTACCTATATCAATAATACATGCCAAATACAGCTTGATGTAGTTATAAGATAATATATTCGATTTTGTTATCTATAGTCAAGAAACTGCACTTTTTTTAGTTGCCAAGTTCATAATTTTAAAAAGACCAATTACATTAACTTGTTTATATCTTTTTAACCAACGAATGATTTTTTTCGAATAGGTATCAGTACAGACTACTGAGGCTACATTTCTATTGTTTAACATAAATAAAAGAAAGTGGTAAGGTATAGTTGCAACTTGCACCATGATGACAAAATTACATACTGCGTGTAAACCTATTTTATATAGTGTAACTCAGAAGAGCAACCTGAAATATCCCTTGGGGGTCCAAAATTATAATTAAAAAAATATTATCATAAATAATCATGTAAATAATAAATTAAATTTATTTTATTTTATTGTATAAATAATAAAATGTAAAATTTGAAATAAAATTATAAAATAAAGTCTAAACGACGCTTCGAGGTCGCTTAACGATTTATTATTTCTTCGGATTCTACATTAATATCGTAGTGGATATTGAGAGCATCTAGTCCATTCAATCTCGATTCAGATGCAGAGTTTCTTAAAAAAGTTTTGATGCGTTTGAGTGTAGAAAATGATCTTTCAGCTTCGCACGATGTAATTAGAAAATAACTAAAAATAACTTACCCAATTTTCCACTTTAAAAATACTCAAGGGGGGGCTGGACCCGGGACCCCCACTCTTGGTTGCGCCACTGGTGTAACTAAAATAATAACCTCATACCGGACTACTATAAATGACTAAATAATTGTTTAATTAAAAAAAAAAATTATAAACACCAATTAATTATTGATAAATAGCCATTAGAGAGATTGGTTTAGATTGAAAAATAACAGTCGTTAGAATATTCCAAAACAAATTATCATGGTGCGTACAGGTATTGTAAAATTTATACTTTCAAGGTTTAGAATGAAAAACATTTTTTCAAAATTATTTAACTGTTTGTTAATGGACCCGTCATATAAATGTTATTATTAAGAAGACGTGATATTTATTAAGGAGTTAAGTATAGGCAATTTTTAGCAAAATCTTAATTTAAAGCAATGTCTGATTATTAGTTTATTAACTAGAACTCTTTTATGGTAGCTAATTTATTTTTCGGACTATCACAGCATCTTTGTCAGTGTTTTAAAATATTTTTTTCATCTTAACATAGTTACGCAGAATGCGTTTTACTAAGTCCATGGTTATTTTTGCTCTAAAACATTTATTATAAAATCGAAAGATAACATTTTTAAGACCGGGTCATATCTGATTTAAAAAATAAGAACGTAAAAACAAAGTTTTAGCTATTTTAAAAAAGAAAAAAAATGTGATTTTAAATGTTAAATATTAGGTTTATCAAAAAAAAGGATATGATATTGTGTCCAAAATTTTGTTATCTTCCGTTTTTGTTATAGGTATGTATTTTTACTCTAACCCATCTTGAAGCGAGTAAAACGTTCTACGTAGTTAATGTCTTAACGTTGTAAAATTGGCTGTATGACGTTCTCTTAATGTCATAATAATAATTAATTAATTTTTCTTTTTAATATAAAAATTATATTTTACTCGTATCTTTTTAAAGTTATGAATATTCAAAAACAATAGTCAATAATGAATAGTTCACAAATATAATGGCACGATTACTAACAATGTTTTTTTTTTAAACTAAGTACAGCAAATTCTTATTCTGCTCCAATCGTTATAGTACTAGAATAGTAGTAAACAGACAATAAATTATGAAAACTGCTTCGTTAGGTGTATAAAACATATGATTAAGGAGCTCACTATGCAATTTAGTATACACACCTGCTTACTAAATAATCTACAATAACAGGAGTTAATAAAAAACAATACTCAAAATTATTTTAAAACTTTTATTTCATTTTTATGTACAAAATAAATAAATATACGGAGAAGAAAATGATAAAAATAGAAAAAAACATATTTTCCTGAGACCATACAATATTAGAATTGAAGAACAAATATTTGATAAAATTGTAGTTCAGATAAGTCAGTCTTTTTTAAACCTACATTCATTACACTCGCTTTTAAAGTGTTCTACTTTTCTTTGTTATTCTTATTGACACATACAAAATTTCAATTACAGCAATAAAAATAAAAATAAAATAATAATAAATAATTATTACCATTAAATAAAAAAAAATAACATAAGATTTTAAGTTAATTTAAAGTTATTGTCCACATAGTTAACAATACATAAGATAACTGTATTTTAAATCTTTGTAGTATTCGATGTACTTAGTGTCGAAACGAATTCTTAGAAAAACATTGATAGGTATATATTTTTTTTTATTACATACAGAAACCCTATTTCATGGGGACTATGATCAGCTAATCATTACAGATGTCCATATTCCCGATGAAACTACATGTAATCCCACGATGACAATAAAAATGATAATAATAATAATAATAATAATAATAAGTGAGGAGGAAATGTAAATCTTAAAAAAAAAAACAAAAAAAATTAACAATATAACTATTTTTTTTTTTTTTGAGTGTTTAAATAGTTAAAAAAAAAACTCTGTCGCGATTTGTCCTCCTTGAGCCAGAGATATAAATCTGAACTGTGAATATTTTGTCTCTTTAAATAACATTGTTGAGCGATAGCCTCCAACGGACTGTTGTTTGAGGCCAATACGGATGCCTAAGAGTGCCGTGATGGAAGGTACTAGCTTTCGGCACCGCCATTTCGGGATACATGTTTTTTTGTAAACCTGTGACAAAAAAAAATAAAAAATCTAGTTAATAATTTTGAACGTGTACACACAACAATAGAAAATAATCGCAAATGAACCTAAAGGGAGTGTTTTTTCTTTCTGTCGCGCCTGCCGGTAATATTTACTATTGTAATCGCTTGTAATATCTACTATCGCGTTCATACGTTTTTGCGGGCCGTCTGTCGGATAATTTTTACACTTTTTTTTCATATAATATTTATATATACATATATAATATATATTTATTTATTTTTTTGGTTTCGGTCGCCTACGTTCAACGATTATCATCGGGTCCGCCGTCCCACGAACTTCCTGCGAATACATCGGAACACACCTCCTTCACCTTAATCGCGCATATTGTAGTTGAAAACGATTACGACACGAAACGTGCGACGTTGTGTTTTCGTGCGAGACAAAAATCAATACTTTTGATGGATCAAAGAGTTTTGGAAAAATGACCCCCCATAGTAGTCACCGCGTAGAAATACTATAAATCATCGATGGACGGACCAAGGTGCACCGTGTGTCTTCCGGTCTGTGAGAATATTGACCTACAGAAGAAGTCATCGATCCGCGCACGCGACCTCCGGCCTCCAGCGCCGCGGTCCCTGATTAGCGAAAATAATAACATAGGATACTATAACTTTTAATTTTAATTTTCACACCCTCAAGGTAGAGAACTCGTTGCGAAGAAAAAAAAATATTTCACAATTTAACGTCGGCGAAAACGTATGGGGTCGATTAGATAAATGTATTATTATACAAAACGATAATTAATTCCAAGACGTGAACGCTTACCTGATTTGAACATTACGGTGACGGGTATCGATGGGTTTCTACTGCATGTTCAGTAAAGGCCGGTTGGGTCCAGTTTCGGTCCTCCTCCGCACATGTTGATTGTATTGGCTGTCGGCGTGTTGAGAAAAATAAATTTGAGTTTATTTATTTTTTTGTCAATAAAAAAATTATTGGCGATTTTGAAGCGCGGGTGTTTCAGTATAAACCGGTCGGATCCAAACCCATCGTTGATGATTGCGTTCGGAAGGTTAAATCAAATTTCAAAAATAAATTTCAAATCGGTAAAATTGTTTCGAAAACGTGAACACACTTTGGCGGCGAACTGAATTTATTTTTAAAATATATATTTAATACACGAAGGCTAAATAGATGTCGTTCGGTGAAAAGCCGGTAGTAGACTGAATGATGTTGCCCGCGTGCACCCCGTATTTATAATGGCCAGGTAAAAGCCCGGGAAAAATACACACACACACACACACGGTGGCAAACAGGGACGACACTGAACGGCCGGTCAAGGAATTAAAAAAAAAACATATTTATGTATTATATATATATGTTTGACCGAACACGACCGATGACTTGCGGCGTGTGCTTTTCGTCGGTACGTCTGCCGCGATTTGAAAAGAAGGTGTATCTGTCGACTATTACGGAGGAACGAGCGGCGGCGGCGGCGGCGCTCCCACAGGGCTTTTACCGCGGCGCATGCGCACTGACTAGTATTTCCTCGACCCGCCCGTCACACCTTGCCCGGCATATACAGGATGTATCATTTTACAAATTATATCGTGCTCTCCTGATATGGTCTCGAATAGCGACTAATGTTATATTATAAGTATACGATACGATGTTTTATTTAACCTAATTTAATTTAATTAATTCTATATTAACAATTATTATTATTACTATTTTAATTCCCTGAAATGCGTTGAACATAATAAAAATGCTATAATATATTTATTTACATACATACAAAATACGTATTATAATATATATATATATATATAATAATTCACTCATTTTCTGGGCGATGGGGTTAAAATGTTAGGAAACCGTATCTTTAATAACAAAACAAAAACAATATTATCGAATAAATACAATTGTTTATATTTTGTGAGTCTGGGGGTCAGAACCCCTAAACCCCTCTAAGACACTGAAAAAACATTTATTTCAGTTATTAATAAAACATTTCCTTATAGATAAACGTTTGATTAGCGATGGTAATCCGAAACATTTTAATGAATGTTATTATTTACTACCCGTCGTAATATACTCTCGCGCACTCTTATTATACAACAAGAATTTCTAATTAATTATGATTGAATATAAAACAGATACTCAATCGTAGTTAACTATAAATTCTACCGTATAAACTGTTAAATAAATTAAATATGTCTGATAAATTATGTTATGTTATAATAAGAGTGCGCGACAGTATAATATTACGACGAGTAGAAAATATAATATAATATGTTACAGTCTCGTGGCCACGCGTACCACCCTGTATACTATGAGAGCACATTACGGCTAGCAATGGACTCTGTATCTAGGAGGAAGGTGGTGGTTAAGGGGGAACCATAATCGAATCAGCTGTTCGTCAGCAGAGTCGTTAACCTACGTCAACGCGGAACACTGCAACTGACCCCTTCCGCTGTCTCAAACACTACTCATCCTCTCCGCCCTCGACGATATCCATCATCGTTCCGGTGCTTCTGGACTGTATTGGACGCGTGCTCGTTCCGTCACCCCCGCAAAGTAATGGATGGCCGGTCAATAAAATATATTTAGGCGATAACAGCTTATACTGCACTATGTGCGTGTTACCGTTATCCCCCTTCTTCCGCACGCATTTATATTAAATCCTTGATTGTCATACCCTCGCGGCGTGTCAATACTCAATGAGTACATTGCGCAACAGCCGGATCTCGGCGTACATCTGTTTGGAAATTCCCGTATGAGTAATAAGTGAAAAATTGGGTTACTTGTGTAATGTTTTTATTTTGCTATCCTTCAATCAATTCGCTTTACAAAATTGTTTACGACGTACAATATCGGCCGTCACATTTTTGCTCAACGATATCGTCATCAGTCGAGAATTAGGGTATTGCGTTGTACACTAACCCCACCTTCCCCGGAACCACTTGCAAAATAATCGTTTATGTGATTTAACCTGGATTGATTTTATTGGACTGACACCTAGTGTGCTGTATTTACTTTTTGAAAATGCGTGTTGTATATTATTATTATTACCTTACACGATAAATCGACAAAACATGTTCATTACTTAATTTTGTAAAAATACGACTAATGTAATATTATATTATACCTACTAAAGTTAATAAAATATATTTGGTTCTCCGTTCTATACATAAAAAAACCAAACAAAATACAGTTTTATAATACGAAACGTAATATTATGTTACAATCACATATTATTTGGGTCAGTGTCGAATCCAAAGGTCATCCGAATGGGAGGTAAGGCTATAAAGGGAAATAGACTTTCAGAAACTAAATTTACACAAAAACAGTGACGTACCTAATTACATTTTTATTGCTAGACTATGATTTTAGATCTTTTTCCCCACACAACGGCCTATCTGCCTCACTTAAAATTGAACAATTCGTTTAAAATCAGATAACATGTCACGTAATATTAGATACCAACATATAGTTTGTTTGGATAATAAATGGCCTTGATATAATTGTATAATCAGCATCTCGATATAATGAGTTAAAAATAAACAAACATCTACAAAATCCTTTTTCTAAAGGTTGAGCTTAGCATACGTTTACCCGCATAGCCATACACTTAACCCTAGATCGATACTAATATCAAACATGTAAGACCAATAATTATTATCTTAAAATTGAATGTGTTATTATCTTAATTGATGTTATCATTCTTTACACTCCCTTAAGTAATAAACTAATGAATTAATTTAACTACAATGTAGCTATAATAAATCGTTGGTTTCACGACCGAACGCATCTAAAGGAGATGTTCCCACTATTAATATTCAACTTGAAATAAAACGTCAGTTAAGAGTGAACTATTAGTTTTCTTTTATTAATGTTTCGGTAACGACGTACTACTAATTGAACGTGTTCTTGGCATTGTATTCGTGGATATTACTGATAGCAATGTAAACCAATCGACCAATTCATAATTGTTGGTTTATAGTGACTGGTAATGACTTACATACTTACTATCCTTAACTGCCTAATCTTCATTCATAATTTGATTCACACGGTATTACGCATTGTGCGTTACAAAACCCTTAGGTTATTATAAGAAATGCTCACTTCAAATAATTTCCATTACCTAAATTGAAGCGTTATTGACATTCATATTACATATACAATAAAAATAATTTCCCACTTGTTAAAATATTATTAATTTCTCGTCCGTTTCATTAAAATGTGTATACCTACCAGAATAAACTGAATTTTAAAAAGTAATTGGTTAAAATCATTAGTTTTAAAAAATATACTTATTTCTCCAAAATATTTGCTGATAATAAAAAGTAAATAAAAAAAACCCCGAGTAATGTTAAAGAAAATTTTTAGATTTTCTACTATTTAAGCTCACAATACTTTTTATTTTAATATGTATTATAAGTTCCAAACTATTTTTAAAAATATTGTTTGTGCTATATTATTAATAACATACATAACTTAATGTCAATATGTGCTACATTTTTAGGGATTCTGCACAAAGTTTAGACACGTTATTATCCTCGTTGTGTCCGTTGGTCTGTCTGACTGTCCGTCAGATTGATAATTTTTTAATTTTGTTTATACGCTACTGCCTACTATAGAGAGGTTTATTGTTTAAAACACTAATGTTTAGAAATCAGACATTTAGCATGCTCGTAGAGTGGGTATTCCTTACTAGTTGTTTTGGCTTAAACTTAAGATACCATTTATAATAAATCAGAGCTTTGCTAATTTACGAAACAACTAAAACAGTAAATGCGTTTGATTGACAGTGCCCTTAATTTTAAGTATCACAGACCACATTATATAGGTGTAAAGAAGAATATATTTGCATGCAAACTTTAAATAATAGATTTGACTATAATGACCGGGTTTTGTTTTTGAAATTTAACTACGACTTATTATTATAGAAGGCAAGAAAGTGTTATTTGGTGACAATAGAAATTTTCTTTTTTGTATTCCAATCATGCGTGTGACATACAAATATTGTCGTCAGTATAGTTATACCCAAAAATGCAATTTACGGTTTACTTAGACGCCTAATAAGTACAAGTCTAGCAAAATTTGAATTACTAACCAATATATAATATTTAACTAACGGCTATAGACACACAGAATTTGTCATGTTTGCTACTAAAGTCTTCAAGCTAGAAGATTCAAGATTTTCGAAAAAAACGTTGAGATATTATATCAAACATGAAATATGCTTATCATTTATGTATAATATTTTAATAAAAGTTATTTAGAATTTGTAAAACTAATAGCAACATTAATAGGAACAATGTATTTTACAAAAATTAGAAATATTCATTTTTTTTTATAAACGGAAACTTAGTGGTTAAATATTTCAAATTTAAAGAGGATTGATATAACTACATAAAATCAGAATATTTCCAAAAATAAATAATTAAAAATTGATTGAATCTTGATGCGAGGTATATTGGCTATGGCTTACAATATATAAATTGCTTCATATTTGCGTAATTTTTAAACAAAATTGTTGAATCATATTTTTATACTTATCAATTTTAACACTTGTACAAGTATACATAAAACTATATTGAATCGACAATGATTCTATATTATAATGAGGGTATACATAAGCAATTTTTGTTATAAAGTTCTATAAGTTATTTTTTTATTTTGTATTGGTAAAAAATAAAAATATATTAAGGTATAAGTTGTACTTTTATGCCTCCAGTAAATACCTAGTTCCGAAATTAATTTATTTTCTGAAAAATTGATACATACCAACATCCGGGTGTTTTTTGGCGACAGCGTTATAAGAAATAGGGATATTCGTGGTACCTACTATTTTTTTTTTGCCTTTCTATTTAGGTATGCGACTGTCACATCAAATTATTTTCCCAGCCTTTGAAAAATGCCGCAATGAATTTTTAATACCGAAATTGTATCATTGATGTGTACCTGACCACATTTTGGACCTAAGGAGAAAATTTAGGTATTCGCCAACAACCTCCGAATAACGCCTTTGATCTCCATGGGCAGCGGATGACCTAACCCCTATTGAGTGATACTCGACTCCTTTGGACTCATTTTCTCACACGAGTGATACAGGCTAAGTTTACATTTAAAAAAAAAGTAATAGAAAAGACAGATATATTGTGATCCAGGGTCAAATTTCTCTAAAAGGATATCAAAGATCGATACAATGGAATTAATCTTATTCTTTGCAGGGTAAAATGGGATGTTACGTATGCGATAAATCTAGTTATTGTGTTTACATGTGATTTTTTATACGCTTGTCCTTTCTAAAAGGTTCTGAATCGAATTTTGTTTGTATAAATATTTGATTTGCGCCACTACTTTGTTGATTTATAGCGATCCCGCAGTCAGCCTAATTTGTGGTTGATTCAAAATCCCAGTGTACCACGTCCTTTTTTTCCTTATCTCTTTGGG